AGCAACAGCTTCGACTTTGGTGAGTACAATGACTTGGATAGGAACCAAGCCGTGAAGGGCAGCGCACTTGCGCAGAACGCCCAATACTTGGAAGCATTTCTCAAAGCTGGCTACGCCAAGGCCAGTCTTGTGACAATGAGGAACACTTTGCGGCTTTTGGAATCTCATTTCCTGGGCAAGTTCAAAGTGAATCCTACGGAAAAATCATTTGAGGATTTCCTGGCCTTCCTTTGCAGGCGAAGTAACTGCATGCTGAGCCATTTGCGCAGATTGGTCAATGAGGAGAAAATGAATACTTGTGTCCGTGGTCTTGCGGACCCCAAAGATGCAGATACTTTGCACAGTTTGTTGCAGCTGCTCAATGAGGTCGTAGTTCCTTCTCCTTCCCCTTCACCTGGAGAAGCGCCAAAGGAAGAGGTAGCAAAAGAAGGGCAGGACCCCCGCACGTACCCCACCTATGAGAGCCTGGTGCGATCACCTAGCTCTATGCCTGCCAGTGATTCGCCAGGTGCAGCTCCCAGCAGCGATGATGACAATGCGCCTCGCAGTGCTTTGCAGCAAGCTCGAAATCGCCAGGGCAAACTCCCGGGAACAAGAGGAAGCACGAAGGAGAAGACCAAACAGATGAGAAAGCCGGCTGCTGCCAAGCCTCCCGCAGCTGAGGCAGCTGACCCTGCCAAATCTCCTTACCGCGTGGGGAAATTTTCACACAAAGGCTATGTCCAAGTCTTTGACACGGACTCCAATGCTTGGAAGCTGTTGGTGAACGTGGACTACACCAATTGCTCAGAAGAATGGAAGAGTAAATGCCACGAAGTGTTGGACAAGCTACTAGCTTATGTGCAGAACAAGCCGGAGTCCGCTAAGGAAGAGCTGCGCAGCAAAAGAAATGATTGGCTGCAGGCTGCTGAACATGGCGATGTGGCTTCATCCAGGAAACGACCCGCGGCTTCTTCACTTCGTCCGAAGAAAGCCAGTCGCAAAGCTCACAAGCTGAAGTCCAAGGACGATCCTGAGATGCCGGCTGTTTCTCCTAAGAAGATTAGAAGAAGTCAAATTTATTGTCTTCTCCGGGCAATATTGACCAAGGTGATTCTTTGTCATTTAGCGATTTTGGATCCTTTGCTTGAGCCTCTTGGTGCCGGATTGTCAGAAAAAAGGTGTTTGACAAGGGTGGGTTTCCCAACAGGTTTGCCGTTGTTTGTGACAGTTGCACAAATTGAGTGCTGGATTTGAAACTCGTTGGTTTCTGCAGGTGTGATTAAATCTTAATTCCTGGCGGTATTTTTGGTGTAGAAGTGCTTGTGCCATGGCTCCGCTTGCAGCCCGCAAATCGCAGCTGAAGCCGAAAAAGAGCAAATGCCATGTCGCGCCACGAAAGCGCAAAGCTGTGGACAAGACACCCACTGCTTGGAAAAGAGCCGCTGACAAGCTTGTGGCTTGCCACTGCACCCTCTTGAGCCTACTTGCTTTTGCGATGCCCTACCTCACTGTCAGCGGCCAGGAGGATGAGATTCAGAGCTTGGAACTGTTTGCTGGAAAGCAGGCCATCAGTCGTCAGACCCAGAAATTCGGTTTTCGAGCTGTGGCCCTTGACAAGACCTACAGTGATAGCCCCATCATGGACCTGACTACGATGGATGGTTTCAAGCATGCATTGTCTTTGGCCATGCGTTTAGGCATAGCTTGCACATGCTGGGCGGCGCCAGTTTGCAGTAGCTGGGTATGGGTCTCAAGATCCAGCACAGGCCGCAGAGCCACCTGTCCCGAAGGCAACCTGAGTTGTCTGTCGGTGAGAGAAGGAAATCTACAAGTGAAACTCACCGTGACTGTTCTGCTGGTCGCTTTCCTGCGTGGTGCGTTTGTGTACGTGGAGCAGCCTTGCAGTAGCCTCATGTCTTTGTACGAACCAATGAAAAGCTTCATAGAACTCATTGCAAAGCAGAGATGCCGAGTTGCTCTTGGGGCCTATGGAGCTGACAGCGCCAAGCCCATCTATATATACACCAATGACCCCAATATAGAACGCTTTCAGAAACGCATCCCTGGAGGAACTGAGTTCAAACAACTCTGTTGCAAAGGCCCCGGGGGAGCTGTGACAGGATTGAAAACTGTTCTGAAAGCATCTCAAGCTTACCCGGAAGATTTTGGAAGGGTGGTAGCAGAAGCGACTGCTTCTAATCTCTTGTCGTCCTATGGATTGGACGACTTTGCAAAATAAGGCTTGGCTTAGTCATGCACTGTAGATTTCTCACGTAGACAAATTCATAATTTGCAAGTGTCGTATGTTCTTTAGACATGCGTAGAAGCAGCCACTTTGGGGAAAACATTGTTGCGTCAGCCGTGCAGAAACCATTTGTGGGGCTTGCAAAGGCCCGCGTTTGTGAGGCCTGCAAAGGCCTTTTTTTGGTTGGGTTCAACATGTATCAGCTTCAACTGTTTGTTTTGAACAGGTGTTTTATTACTTGGGTTTACTGATTTGCGTGGATGCGGCAGAGTCGCCACCTGGCAGCCAGCTCCTTGTGGCAACCATTCTGCAACGACTTGTTGACTCAGTTTGTTTCCTGTGGGCAAGACATTGACGATTTGTACGGCAGCTCTGTGCTCAAATCTTCGCACTGAGCGATTTGTGCCCCATCTGTATATGCCTGGTTTCCAAAGCAACATGATGAGAGATCACATGCGCGCCTTGTGGATGAGTGAAACCAACGGCACCTCACCATGTATTTGGAATACCTTTCGTCCTGAAAGTGTGCTCAAAAATGGTAGCCTGGCTTTCCTTATTTCTTTTGTGGGGATGTTTTGTTCACCCTCCGCTCAGGACGTGTGCCTTACACTACGTGGCTCCAACAGCAGCTACTCAATGAGTCGTTTGGCGCCAACATTCACGTACATCCCAGTGCAGTGCCTATGGCCCCAGGGCTTGCACCGCAGATGGTACCCATGCAGCCGTGTGGTTTGATGAGCCCGCATCCAATGCATATGCCCGTGGGACTTGTTCCTCAAGCTGTGTTTCAGCAGCAAGAAGCAGTGCCAACGCCTCCTTGGAGGGCAGATACCAGTCCTTCGTTTCTTGCCGCTACCAATGCTCCTGCGCCTGCAGCTCATGGTGTTGGACACGGCGCTATGCCTGCGGACGCTCCTGCTCCAGACATTCCAAAGACGGATGACAAGAACTGGTGGTGGGATGGGCAGAAATACCGCCCTTGGTCTCGCGGTTCCGGTGCCAAACAAGGCAGTGCATACGCCAGGTGCAATGTGTGCAGGAAGATATGCTTCGTCTTCAGGACTTCCACGTTGAGGACCGCTACGGTGAAACACTGCAGAAACCGAGCATGCTCCAGGAACGGTGGCAAAGACACTGGTGGTGAGAAGGACTGAATTGGACATATGCGAAAAGAGCAAAGATGCGGACTGCAAAGTCCGTGATAATCAACCTACTCAGTTTATGAACCCCCGAATATGACAATCTGTATTACATATATATTTGTTGTTTTGCGTTGGGGAAAATGACTAAGGCACAGCATGCATAATATAGTGCACATAAGGTTTGTGGTCCAAGATTGCAGTCATTCTCGATCAGACTGGTTCGTTTGCAGGAGATCGACTGGATGGGCGATGATGAAGCGCCCCCATATGCCGAAGCAGACTCCAATGACGAGATGCCTGGTGGCGCTGCTGGTACTACCCCCAAGGCTTCCCCAATGGTGCCTCCTGGAGAAGCTACGACCACGGCCCCCGACAATGAGCGCTTGAGTGTTGCTCCGTTTGTGGCAGGGAATGTGCCTGAGCCGAAGGCCAAAGCTGCTCCGAAGAAGAGATTGAAGAAGACGGGCGGGACGAAGAAGAAGACTGGTCTCAAGGTCAAGAAGTAGATAACTGTGCAGAGCTGCAGAGTGGTATAAAAAAGGTGACGCGCTTCCGATCGGAGCGAGAAATTTTTTGGAAATTTCCGATCGGACTTGTACATCTTATAGTTGTCTTATAAACGTCTTATACATGCATATATAAGACGTCTATAAGACATCTATAAGATTTTACAGTTTCCCAATTCCTTTGAAAGTCCAATCAGAAATTTTCATTTTTTTCTTGCCAGCTTGAGGCCTGAAAAGGCCTAACATCTGGGGCCTGCAAAGGCCCGACATCTGGGGCCTGAAAAGGCCCAACATCTGGGGCCTGCAAAGGCCCAATGTCTAAGCTTGCAAAGAGCGTGAGTAGTTCCCACAGGTAGGCTTAGGGCAAGGTAAAGCTTTGTCCAAGTTATTTCGTTTTTTGCGCCCTTCCAGCAAAGACGACTGCAGACAGAAATTCTTCCACAATCTCTGTGTGCTTATGTCAGTTACATTTGGCGCCTCAGCCTTTTTTTGGTTTGGGACTTGAGAACAGCTGCCCAAATTTTGAGATCATGGCCACCGACGCTTTGATCGAGTCTTTGAAGCTTGTCGCTGACGAGCGCATATGCTTGTCCTGCTATATGGCCTACATAGAGGTCTGGTTGCCAGAGAAACTTGGCTGCCTTTGTTCCCATGTTTTTCCCTTCAATTCCCTGGCCAGGCGCCACAAACACATACCTGAGGAAAGATCAGCTTGCCTTGCATTGTATCTCTGCAGACTGCCTTTGTGAGCTCCATGATGGGCAGCGTGCTTGCAATCGGAAGGCTGCGACTGAGGTGTACAGTGAAGGGAAAAGCTTTTCGCCCAGTATTCCTGAAGTCTCTGCAGACAACAGCGCTGCAAAGTGACGCAATTGCAACGCGGCCCTATAGGTAGAAAATTTTCCCCTGTCCATGCAGCCACCTGGTCCGCTGGGTTTGGAAACAGAACTGCTTTGAAGCTAAAATGAAACTTCGTTTCTCCATGTTGCACATTTCCCACTGCCTCTTCCCAGAACACTGGTTTTCGCTGCTGCTGAATGAATGAATGAATGAATGACATCATTGCCTGCATAGCGCAGCTTTGGTATTTTATTTTGAACGCCATAGTTTCTTGTAGTAGCCGCCATGCCTGCAGCAATGAAGCGCCCAGCCACGCGTTGTCAACAAGATGAGCAACCAGTTCTGAAGCGGCCTGCTGCTGCAACAGTGCCTGCTGATGACAAAGCTGCAGATCCCATGGCCACACTGCCAGAAAACAAGGAAGAGCTGGAGAAAGTCTTGGCAGACCCAAATATCAAGCCATTGGACAAAAAGCTTGCCAAGTTCAAAGCGGCCGTGAAGGCAGACGAAGATGCGTCAGCCATGTTTGCCAAGATGAAACGATTTTTCGATCCCAGCGAGATGAGCTGCCTATGGGGCAGGTTTGGGACTCTCATCAATGGGTCCGCGGGTGAGCAGCAAGACGCTTGGAAGAGCATTTGCAATATGGATTGGCGCAGTGGCAAAGTGGAGGCCAAAGGAAAGATATTAGCCATGCAAGTCATGAATCCCACTCGTTGGAAGGAGTTCTTGGTGCAGGAAAGCAATTCCCTCACCCGCCGTATCACAAAGCAAGTGAAAAAATACGGTACTATCGAGGAGAGTTGATCCAAAAGCATGGGCAGGAGGAGTTCGAGGAGCTTTTGGCCAAAGGCAAGTTCGAAGAGGTGGAAGACAGCGATGGAGATACGTGCTACTACAAGAAGGAGCTCAGCCAGACCGATGCTTTGGAGCTTTCCCGTAAGGCAACTACTGGCAAGCAGAAGACATCCAGCAGCCAGGTTGAAGTCGAGGCTCTCGCTTCAGCTTTCCGCTCTGAGTTCCAAGGGAAGGGCACTGGGTCCTCAACAGACAGAAAGCCCTTGCAGAACAAGAACAAGAAGGAAAAGAAGAAAGCAAAAGAGGAGACTGAAGATGAGAAGGCGCAGAAGAGTTTGAAGGCATGCTTGTCAGCCATGAATCGCCACCAGGAGAAACTTATGGTCGCTATTTCCAAATTGGAGAAAGATCGGGCGGCTGCTGGCATCCGCCAACTTTGCGTCAACGCTTTGCAGAAGGTGAAGAAGCAGCAGTCCAATCTTCAAGTCTTGATTGCCGACTACAACCAGAAAGCAGCTGCGAAGGCCATCGAGAATGTCACCAAGGTTTCCGCTGAGTGTGCTGACGCGTTGAAAAAGGCAAAGCCTTTCACCGGATAGACACTTAGCTGCGCTTGCTGTTGAGCTCTGATTCTCCAATTTTGCAGCTGCCACCTGCCACCAGATCGTCTGTTTTGGGGCTTCTTCATGTGGGGGCCGAAAGGCCCCTCCACATTTTCACACAAGGAATCAATTAGCTTGCTGCACCTGCTGTCGAGTCGTGTCCACATTTGAAAGTTTTGGATTCAGATCTTGCACGTTCTAATGCCTAGCTGCAGTAGACTTGCTGCCGCCGTTGAGCGAGATGCTGGCTACCGCAAAAGAAAGGCACCCGAAGATGAAAACCCATCTCCTCAGAGTGAATCATCCGCATTGGCGGGCCTTTTGCTAGAGTGGGTGTCATGGGGTACAATATCTTTCCCCATGGTTAGAGAAGCTGCAGAAGCAGCTTGCAAAGACGGCGCTGACTCACCCCAATTGCGTAAGTTGGCAAGCCTTGGGGGACCCCATGCTCTGTCCAGAAATATGAGACGGGATTGCTTGAACAATTTGGACATAACCTTTGTGGAACCAGAAATGGTGAAGCTGCCCATGATGCCTGCCAAGGGGGAGAAAAAGGTCCAGTATGTTGACCATCCAATCATCTTGCCCCATGTACTATTTCAGCATCTCTATGACGAGCATCGTGATTTTTTTATGCAGCAGATTGCGGAAGCTGGGCCACAATTCTTTTGGGAACAGTGCCCCAGAGATGAGCCCAGGCTCATTGACCACCCTGTTCGGTCTGTTCCAGATTACAAGAACAGAGCGTGCCCTCTCGTGCTGCATGGAGATGGCGCGCAGTACACAACACATCACGATTCCATCAAAAGTTTGCAGTGGTCCTTCTTGGGATCTGATGGAGTGGGCACAAGAACTTGGGATCACGTTTTTCTCATCACAGTTTTGGTTTCTCGCGTTTGCTGCCAAGAAGATGTCCATGGAGTCGACACTTGGGATGTGGTCTTCCGCCTGGTGGTGAGCAGCTTCAATTCGTTGCTCATTGGCAGAATGCCGCCGAAGAGCGACAGCAATGAATCCGAAGAAGAGATCTGCGAAGGAAAATCCTTCGGCTTTCTGTATGTGGTCACTGCGGACATGGAGTATGCCAGCAACGTGCTCAGATTGGAACACTTCAACAGCGTTGACTTCTGTTGGCTTTGTGACGCACAGCAAGCTGAAGGTGATTTGAATTTCAGAAATCTTGCCTGTAATGCCCCGTGGCGGAGCACCTTGGTTGACCCACAGCATGCTTTCATAGAGGACGGCCATTTTTTTTGGACAGCAGCTGGAATAGGCCGCTACACATATGTAGGAGATTGGCTGCACACAGTGCATCTAAGGATCATGTGCCACTTGTTGGCAAGCGTGATGGACTGCATTGCGGATACCTATGCTGGCAACAAAGAAGTTCGAACACAACACTTGTGGAATGACTTGGTCAAATGTCACAAAGAAATGGGCACCTTGACCGCAGAAAGAAACCGTTTTCCAAGTTTCCCTCTTTTGAAACTGGCGCAACCCATGCCATGCTAGGTACACCTGTGGCTCTTCACAACTTGACACCGAATATGTACATGAGCACGGCTGAGAAATACGCGGAGCTGAAGCATGTGAGAGCTTCGGAAGTGTCTCGTTTGCTTCCTGCTTCACCTCCACAACAAGAAACGCGATGCATCTGAGCAAAGCGCTCACATCACATACTGCTTGAATGCCATGACCGTATTTGAGGATCATGTGCGTGCCAATTTTTTTTTCTGGCCCAAAGATGATTTCGAATATTTAATCATCACCATGTATAACTTTCAGGTGTCATACATAGCTTTGGCAGCCATGGCAGTAGACGCTGGAAAACTCCGCTTTGGTTACCCAGCCAAAGGCCATTACTTTGAACATTTAGCGGTCGATCACCTGGGACTCGTTCCTAGCCGTGTTTGGTGCTATCGCTATGAAGATTTCATGGGTCGTCTGGTGCAATGCGCCCAAAGGTGCATTGCTGGCACACCGTTGACCCTGGTAGGTAGCAAGGTGTTACAAAATTATCGAATGGCATTAAGCGTGCGGTTGGCACGCTGGAGATAAGACAAAAAGAAACACACCCACACAATATGTGGCTTGAAAAAGCCAAGGTTTGGGGGCCGAAAGGCCCCACATCTGCTTATAATTATGTCTAAACGCGTCCTCACATCAGATGTTTCTCTCTCTCTATATATATATATATATATTTATTTTATTGTGCCATGACAAGCATGTAAACCACATTCCGATAACACTTTTCATACAAATAACGTTATCAGCATGAATACCGGTATCATGATCCCATTTTTCAATGAAAAATCGTTTTTCATTAAAATCCGAGATTTTGTTCAAATAGCGTTATCTGCATACCGGTATTGATGTCAAAAACGCATTTTTGACTCCAAATCGAGGATTTCGAGCCTCTGGGCTCCTTTATCTTGCCATTGGTTTCGGAAACAGCTATATCAGGCTAATCTACACGGAATCTGTACACGTGCAACTACCGTAATGGATTGGATGCTGGTGTCAAACTCTTTTGAAGCAATTGGAAAAGGTTTTTCATATGGAAGTTTTCATCTCTGAGTTGAATGTTAATCGATTGAACTGAATGACCATAGGTCAACTTCATCCAATCGGCCACACCTTCCGGCAGGCATAAAATCATGGCACATCAAGGTGAGACACCTACCACGACTCATACTCTACCGACCCATCATTGTAGGTGCGCTTGAAGTGCGGCTGGCCGTTGATCTCGCAGTACTCCTCTGCAATCAAAAGCGGCATTCGCAGCGCTTGCTGAGGTCTCTCTGCCGTCGATGTCGATCCAGTGGCCTCTGTTGCTGGGGCAGAAGCTGCAGCATTCGATGAATCAGGCATTGGTGCCGTGGTCGAAGGAGGTCGCGCTGGCTCAGGTGGTGGTGCAGTGGAGCTTGATGCTGTTGAGCGCCCCCAATCATCTGCAGTCCATACACGTCCTTGGTAGCCACGCCTCCAATCCCAACTTTGCCAATAGGCCTGTCCTCCCGGACGGCTTGAGTAAGATCCATATGAATCCCATCCCTGCCTCCGAGACCACCCACTGCGGCATTCAAAAGACTTGTGACCGTATTGACCGCATTTCCAACACTCCACAGCTTGTTGGAAGATCGGTCTCTGCTGGCCATAGCCTTTGCCCTTTGCAGGTCGCTGGATCGGGTCGAAGTTGCGTCGGTAACCTTCACGACCTTCACCCGTGCCCGTCCTTGAGGATCTTGCCAATGGAAATTCTGCCACATCGGAAGCCGTAGCTTCTTCTTCAAAGGAGTGCTCTTGACCTTTGATGTTGTGGTATTGTTCATTCCATTGTCTCTTCGCGAAATCCACCAAATCGAAAAAGCAGTCTTGAGATGACTGTTGATCAATAGGTAAAATGGACCCCGACCATCCGTGCAACATTGGCGTGGGTTCCCCCCTCGCTTTGAGCAGATCAGCAGCAAGAACAGCAAATTGAGGAAGTGTAAATACTCGGGCATGATGAGCCACCATCACTTCCTTGGTCACATCGAGAGCAAGGCGGATGTCTCTGTTGAAATCTGGCATAAAACTCAATCGAGTACTGACACCTGTTCCCTGCTGCTTTTCTCTCTCCTCCAGGAACTGGCAACAATCAGGTGTTATCTGGGCGACCGCATTGTTGAAAAGATACAATGGATCCTTTTCCATACGGTCCTGGATCGATTTGAAACCAAGCTTCCCATAACGGCCAGCATGAGTCTGTGCCGCGTCCTTCAAGTTTCCAAAGTTGCTCCGTCCAGCTCGGCGTTGGTCTGCCCTTGTGCGGTCGGAGACTCTCTGGGCTCGAGGTTGCTTGTCAAAGTCGATCTTGTCCAGGGAAAACACCTTGCTAGTTTTCTTGGCCGTGATTTCCATCCGGCATACCTCAGTCGCAATTCGTCCATATGACCATGAAGCAGGACTGGCACTTGTGGGTTCCCTCTGTTGTTTTCTCCACAAAAATGACACTTCACCTGCTGCATCTCAATCTTCGTGCTGAAAATGTAGTCTTCCGCGTTTGTGGATCTTTGGGCCGGGCGGCTTCCCTTTCCTCGTCCCTTGCCACGACCTTTGCCTTTGCGGATCGTTTCGGCATTGGACAAAGCACCAAAGGAAGCCATTCTCAAAGTCAATTTGTCTTCAAAAGGCCCATTCAATCCTTCACGGCGGCGAACCAAGGGAGGAGATCTTCTGGTTTAGTCGTCATCTGCATCTCTCCCTGGCGGACGCTCTTGCCACTTTGGAGGTACTCCTTCAAGCTTGCCCTTGCATTCGCATAGGGACTGGTTGAAAGTGCCTCGGCCTTCGGGGTGTTCTTCTCCTTGTTCTCTTTCATCTTTGAGTTGTTCCCCACTCTCATCAGCTCGTACGGTCTGTTAATCCATGAAAATTCACGGTTCACCGAGTCATACGAGCAGATGAGGTTCTCGTTGGAGATCCAGTCAGCGCTGATGATGGCCTCATCCGTTCTGAAGAGGCGGCAGCCGCTTTGAACCACGAGCTCGGTGTCAAATGCAAGGTAGTATTGCTTTCCGGCTCGCGTTCCCGCGAGCTTCTTTCCCCCAACTGAATCATCCCATGGGTGTGAGGCAATAAAGAAATTGTGCGCTCGCCCCGTCCTCTGCGGCCATCCACCAGGGATCAAACCATGCTCGATGATCTTCTCCATCGCCAGGCGATCACAGCTGTGATAGACCACCCTTGGGAGCTTCGCCATCATGTCCGGGACAAGGTCAGGCCTCAGGTTGTCCTCGGAAGCTTGACGGTGTCAAGGTCTTCCTTCGTGAAAAGGGGATCCAGGGTAAACACCTGCTTCACCAGGGAAGAGATCTTGGCGTTCTCAACCACGGCTCTGCTGTGACCCTGAACTGCACGGATTGCAATCACCTTCCACGGCAAACCCTTCCAGGTTGCGTCAGGCAAATCGGGCTGTGCCACTTTGACCTGAAACCTCCTGGTATCGCTGTTCC